GTATCCTTCAGGCACAGCTGGAACTAGGTGTCAAAGTGTATTGCCAAGCCTCCATCTATTCAGTTACCGATTTATCTCACTATATCTCTGGTTCTGCTGCCTTCTACAGCTTTATTCAGGGAGGTGTGTTTATTGGTTGGGAAATGCCACCACTGATGGTCCACCCCTAACCACTCAAGGCTAATGACCCAAAAGTAAGACTCTGTTCTTGGCCTCTATATAACAAACTTCAAAGAAGATTCTAATTGGCCCTGTTTGGGGCACACGCCTGACCTGTACCAAGCATGGTGCCGGGGGCATTTGAACACTCTTAGTGGCCAGCCTGGACCATGTAACCCTGTGTGTCTGGTATGACCAGAGTGAATGACATGCCTACCAGAAGAGCAAACAGGTTCCTCAGAGAAGGGATGCTTGCCATAATTTTACTACTTACATTCATACTTACTCCGATGTATTTTTACTACTCGTATTTCCATATGCCCCTGCTTCCTTGTTTCTGGGTCTTATGCGGGATCCCTCCCTCAGAAGCACAGTGCTCGTGACTGTCAGGCCCTACTGAAAATTACAGGAATGTAGATATCTTAAGCCTTTTGAATCTCAGAAAAAGAAAGTTTTTCAGGTATACATCAGCTTCCTTTGGATTATCTGACTCTCTGGAAAAACAAGGAAAGAGAGTGTGGTAATGACCTGGCTGGGAGACCTCCACACCTACTTCCCCCCGCCCCCTCCTGCCTGCCCCTGGGAAAACAATTATGGGTGATGAATGCTGTTACCAACTAGATTGCTGATGTGGCACCTCGTGTCATTTTCCCTTGAGAGAACAGTTGAGGACCGGATAGAATCAACCAGCTAAGCCTCTTCAGGTGCTTAACTCTTATGTGAGGGCTCTGGAGTTCAATAATTCATGCTAATGCAGCCAGCCAGCCGCGAGCACATTACATTCACACTCTCCCACCTTGATTACAAAACAGGGCCCCAAAAGAGTTTTACGATGGAGAAACATACTTAGGTGACTTCAGGTGGATGAAAGAATGAGGCCGCTTTGAGGTCAAGTGAGCCTAAGTCAGTCTCGGGGCGGCCATGCACTAGCTGTATGACCTTGCATGGTAACATCAACATCACAGGACTTCTGTTTCTTCATGGATAAAATGGGGTGATACCACCTCCTTCACTGTGTTTTGAAATCCTATGAATGAGAGATTACATGGAAAGTGCAGTATAACGTACAAAAATTTCCCATGGCTTCCCAGAACCACAGTAAATGTGAATTCTCTTCCCCTTGTCATATTTTCTCTTCCCCCTCCCTCCCACCTACCCTTCCTCTTCATGGTGTGGACGCCGATGTTTCCTTTAAGTATCAGTGTAGAACTGAGAATACCACGGGAGGGATCATCCAGAATGAAGAAAAAGAAGGTGAAAAGAGTCTTTGTGTTAAAAATAGAATAATCCGTTAACTTTCAAATAACTTACCTATACTGAGAGGAGGCAGAGAAAAGATGATGAGTTTTAAGGGGCAGAGTAAATACATTTAATGATACCCATTTTATATAGCTCAATGAACTAATCTATAAATACAAAAGAGTTTTTCTTTTGTGTATCACCACGGTCCATATAAATACCCGGCAGTTGGAATCATCTGCAGGAAGTATTCCAAGTCACACGGTGAGGCGTACAGGCCTGAGTACATGTATTTCATTAAACAGTGGCACTGGCATACTCAAGTGGTCCAGTGGCTTTGGAATATATGACTGACTACGACTGAGCATGTGAAGTAAAAATAATACACAAGTTTAAACCCATGGAAAAGGAATGAACCATCAACAAAAAGAAACAGTTATGAATTAACACCTAGGTGAATTCAGAGAGTGCCACAAGTGACACTTGGTACCAGACTACTAGAGATGAAGCATGTTTAACACATGTTGTGATGTTCTGTCTTCTCTCCAACTCCCACTGGGCAGTCCACCAAGTGCCCTAGGGTCATTTATGGTCAACAAAACCATTAGTACTCTCTCCGTGTTTCAAAGTGAATGCATCTTCAAAGAGATTTAAGCATTTACTGCAATTTTAGTTTTATATACATACTCAGTAGTCATTAAAATACGTAAGCCACTTGCACTGGCTGTCTTCCAGAAAAGAAGGGAAAAAAACAGCTTGCCCATTTACAAAACCACATCAAAACTTCATTGCTCCCATTTTAGTTAGACTAAGATATCGCTCAGACCACAGGGATATCAAACAGGGATGCCGGGGGACCTTGATAAAAATGAGAAACACTGGCTGACTGGTTAAGAGCTTGACTTGGGGATAGACAGACCTGAGGTCATATTCTAAACCTACCACTTTCTATCTTCATGAACTTGGGCAACTTTTTAAGCTCTCTGATACCTAGTTTTCTGATCACAGTTTGCTATAAAAATTAAATAAATATATTGTGGAGTGTTTTGCGTGGTATGTGGCACAGAGGAAGAAAGAATAAATATTAGCTATTGTTTTCTTATTATGCAAAGCCAAAGGGCTTTCATTTTTTTCCTTAATTTTAAAATTCTTCCTTTCTTTCCTTTTCCTTTTACAAATCAAAAATAACTGCATTAAACAAGATGGAAGTTTGTTTAGCTTTCCAACAAAAGTCTGGAAGTAAAGTAGTTCAGTACTTCAGTAGCAACAGGGCAACCCAGACTACTTCCTTGGTTATTTGGGTGTGCCCTTCATCCTCATTGTACACAATGGCAGCTCGTGCTCCAGCAATCGTGTCCACATTCCACATAGCCAAATGGAGGAAAAGAAATTGAAACTTGGTCTTTCTCAGTAGGAACACTCCCTAAAAGTTACATACACCCCATTGACCACAACTTAGTTGCCAGGGAAGCTGGAAAATGTAACTACTGTTCTAGGTGGTCATGGAACTGGAAAAAAAAAATGTGATGTATTTCAATGGAAAACTGGGTAGAAGGAATAGAGAGGGACAACTATTGTTCCCTGATAGAGCCAGCCCTAGGAGTTTAGTAGATTCAGATCATCCCTCACAAATCTTCTCTCATTCTGTATCTATCTACCTGCTTTTTTTTCAGGTAAGGAACATTGGTTGCATCATTTGCTGACCCTACTTAGCTTTGCTTATTTTCTTCCTAAATTCCTCCCATGCCTTCCACTTCTCATCCCTGAGTTTTATTTATTTATATCCAATTTTAATAGGCAATACAATCATTTCATTGTAGAAAAGTTAGAAAACACAGCTAAGCTCTCAGGGAAACAATTTTTTTAATATTAAAAAATCTCACCACTTAGGGAAAAAACAGCCTTAAAATGTTGGCAAGTAGCCATCTAGCATTTTCCCCAAGTTAAAAAATATATGTGTATGTATTTACAACGAAAGCCTAGTTTACACCACCATTTTAACCTGTTCTGTTATACTTAACAGTATATTATGAGTAACTCGATGTTATTAATTATAGAGCAACATCATCAATTTTAATAACCGCAGGGTATGCCATTGTATGGGTGCATCATAATTTATTCAGCCAGTTCCATTTATCCACAACACTATACTAACTACACCTCCTAGCATGCGCATGTTTGCTCGCGGTTTCCTGAAAATGAGCCGTGCTCCCGCGGCTTTCTGCCCCTTGGGCTCCTGTGCAGCACCCAGAGGCCAGCAGAAGAGCGCTGCTCTGCCATCCGTCAGCGCTGTGCTGCTGTTCAGGTCTCGTCTCTACCTCTCAGCTGCTTGAAATTCCTTTTCAAATAAACATTGCAGACTCGGAAGTTTCTTGAAGAGCTGAATTAATGCCTTCTTACACCCCTTACAAATAGCAAGACTGCCCCCAGGAGAAGGGACTGTTTCACCCCAGTGCTGAAAAAGCACAAAAGAAAGCGCAGTCTCAGGTGACACTGACGGGCTTTCTATGAAACCTCAGTTATCAGAACTTTCAGCGCCCCGAGCTGGCTCTGAGAGACCAGAGGGAGGCCATTGCTGTGTGGAGAAACCCGTTTCAGTTAGGAAAAAACATGCATTTAACTGAAATAATTAATTAGACAGACTACAGGTTTGACAAATGATGATTTTTTAAGCTAATTTTTTAAAATTGGTGATTGGTTTCTGATTAATGATTTCTTTGTGTCAGTTGCATTCCTAATGATGCAAACACTCGTGAGCTTTCCAGTTTCCAGAGAAGGCTGACGACCAGTTCTGTTGCCTGACCCTCATATAACGCTTTCTATTTTCAGGGATTGTTTCCAGCTCAGTTTCCTTCCCAAAAATACTGAGGAATATGTAGAACTGATACCAATAGCCCTCCATTTATAGGTGGTGATAATAAGAGATGCCGTTTATTGAGCACATACTATGTACCAAGCAATATGCTAAAAGTATTATGAACATTAGTTATTCCTCACAGCTACCCTAATGAAGTGGATATTCTAGTATTACCCTATTTTATAAGTGAATATGTTTTCAGAAAAATTAAATAACTTGACCATGGTCGCACACGGGGAAAGAGGGGGAGCCAGAATTGAAAATCAGTGTTCAGTCCCCAGAAAGAGTCACCGACCCACTCAAGTTCTCATAGTTGTGGAGTTAAGTGCAAAATCCGGTTCCCTGCATAGTGATTAAGAACAGGAGCTCTAAACTCAGGCAGCCTGAGTTCAGGTCCTGCATCTGCCATTTCCCACCTGTGTCACCTGGGGCAAGTTATTAAACCACTCCATGCCTCAGTCACCCTCCTTAGAAGTGGGGATGATTAGAGTGCCCATCTCAAAGATACGACCCACAGATCATAAAATTGTACTATGTAATTCTACGGATAACTCATCACCTAATTCTACTCGTTCATAACAATCTTCTGTTGTAAACATTGCATTCAGTGTTTACATGTCCACAAGGTGATCCACATTTAGCACTTAGCACATTGGAGTGCTCAGTAGTTCATTGTGAATATGACTCATTCTGTGCCCCCAGGCTCTAAGCTAAGGATGCATTTTATTGGTCTGTGCCTCTGCAGGTGCCTCGAGCAAAGGCCTTGTGCAACTATAGAGGGCAGAATCCTGGTGACCTGAGGTTTAATAAGGGAGATGTCATCCTCCTCCGGAGACAGCTGGATGAGAACTGGTACCAAGGGGAGATCAACGGAGTCAATGGGTTCTTCCCAGCCAGCTCTGTGGAGGTCATCAAGCAACTGCCCCAGCCACCGCCGCTTTGCCGGGCCCTCTACAACTTCGACCTACGAAATAAGGACAACAGCGACAACCAGGACTGCCTGACCTTCCTCAAGGTAAGACTCTGGGCCGCTACCAATGCCACTAGTGACCACATAGAGACTGTGGCAGAACCTGGAGTTATTTTGCTTATTTTTTTAATTATATATATTTTATAAGTGTATATATGTATGTGTACACATATGTGCTTATATATGCAATATGTGTGTATGATTCAAACTCCATAGGCATGAAGTCACTAGAGAAATCTGCTAATAACAGTTTGATAGAAATCCTTAAGCCACTTCTATTGCCATTTATACATTATTTTTACCAAAAAAAGCATTTACACATTTATTCATTCTACAATCACTTGGAGCCCCTATTCTTTGTAGGCACTGGGGATACAGCATGAATAAGTCACAGTCCCTGCCCTTGGACAGAGTAGGGGGAGAAGCAGACATGTGGACAGAAAATTGCAAACACAATTTGATAGCCTGCTTGCAAAACTACTGAAGAGTTCTTACCTCTTTATCATGTATCTGCAAGGATATTCTTGCCGACCAAGTTCTCATCACCTAATTCTTATCATTTACAACAGTCTATTTTGTTGTAAACATTGCATTCAAACCACTCCACACACTCACCATAACATAATTATACCTCTATACATAAATAGCCTCTTACAAGATGTATTTTCCGAGGACATTAATTACCCTAAAATGTTTTGCCTTCATACTTCTACTAAAGTCTAGACTACTTTAATTCTCTGTGTTCAGTATTTACTATTCCTTAAACATTCAAATTTTCTCATAGAAACCATAGTTGGGGTAATTTTTAGTCTCTGCTGCTTATGATAAATCAAATACAAAAAGTGGCACTGCTACAATGGCTCAGGAAAGGCTTTCTGTTTTGTAAAACATTTTTATTCCACCGCTACCAGAAATGAGATTTACTTAGGATTCCTCATACCAGACAACCTCACTGTCCTCCATGTTTTGAAATAGTGATTATTGTTGTCTTGGCACCTCCCAGGGAGCCCCCCCAAGGAAGGTCATTCTGTAGCCCAAGATGTGAAGCCTGTACTTCAACTTCAGTCAGACGATGGACCGTTCAATTCCACAAGCATTTATTCAGTATTTACTTTGTGCCAGGCATTAGACGCTGTGCTCTGTGGACACAGCTGGAGGAAGACGCAGGCAGGGAGCGTCATCTGTTCTGAGGGTGTTTCTTTTGCCCCTCTCTGGGAATTTTCAAACTAGGACACTAACTCTTCCAGCTCACTCATTCAGTAAGCCCATCCATGCGCCAAGCTGTCCCCTGGGGACAACGTGATGAGTCACTCACTGTTCCAACCTTCACAGAGCCAGGAGCCTAGTGGAAGGAACAGACATATCCATTGGGCAATTATGACAAGGAACCAGAAGAGGAGTCAGATCCATTCTGGAGGGGTGTGGGAGGCTGAGACTGCACTAGGAAATCTCGCGGTCTTTCCGAACTCAGCGTATCTAAATCAAGCGCATGAACTTTCCCCAGTGTTTTCTATCTCATTAAGTTTTACGACTTATGCATACATTCATTTATTCATGCATGCATGCATTACAAAAATATTGATGACTTCTAAAGGGGAGCCAGTGTATTCGGTGCTGGGGACCTGGACATGAACAAAACAGACGCAGGCCCTGCACACATGGAGTTTACGTTCTGACGGGGTAGATAGGCGTTAAAGAAATAATAACCTCCCAGTGTATAATTACAGACTGTAATAAAGACAGAAAAGATACGATGCAGTAAATGAATTTAGATTAGGATCCACTTAAATTGCTCAGAGGCATGGATCGGAAGGTCAAAAAGATCAGGGGGTGGACTATTCAGGTTTAGGCTGGTAAACAGGGATAGCAGTGGAAAGGTGTCCCTGGTATGGTATGCAGTGAAAAAGTCAATGTGTCCTACATTTGTATGAAGTACAAGAACAAGCAAAATGAACACACATGCTGCGAGTCGGGAGGGTGGTGCCCTCTCGCAGGGTGATAGGAAAGGGTACCAAGGAGCCTTCTGGATACTGGCAGTGTTATATACTCTTGATCAGGATGGGGGTCCCGTGGATATAGTCAATGTAAAAATTCATCAAGCTTTACATCTAAAATGGATGTACTTTATTATATTCATCTGTGCATGTTTGGGAAAAGATTTTTTAAATTACTATGGTTATACATATATGTATATATGTTTTATCTTCATAGAAAAGAATCTGGGGAAAAAGATGTTAACCAAGGTGTTAATAGTGGTTGTACTTATATTGTGGTAGAATTTTTTTCTTTGTTTTGCTCATTTGTATTTTCCAGTGTTTCTACAAATCCACATATAACCTTTTGTAGTAAGAAAATTTTTAAGTTAAAAGTCACCTTAGATTTGATCCATTAAATATTGATAGGTTCTGAGAAGTCTTCAAAATGACAATGAAATTCATTCTTCCTTTTGGTAAGATGTAAGTCTGTCTCCCTGTGGTTTTCACCTTGAGTTCCCCATCAGATTAATTTAAATGAAAAACCCAGATTCTGCTTTTAGAAAATTAGAAACATTTCTAAGTTTTCCTGTTGGAGCCCATTGATCCTCCAAGTTGTTTCTATTTCTCTTATGTCTTAGTGATCCAAACCCGACCCTTTACATAGAAAGATCATTTAGCAGGAGGCCTCTATAAACAAATCACGAAAGAGCTACATTCCTTGCACCTTACACCTTCTGGAACTCCAAGCTGATGTCCTCTGAGAGCTTCCAGCACCTGCAAACTGAGGATGAACACTGACCATGAGACTTTTTCTCTTTCAGGATGATATCATCACTGTGATCAGCAGAGTGGATGAAAACTGGGCCGAAGGAAAGTTAGGAGATAAAATAGGCATCTTCCCAATCTTGTTTGTTGAGGTACGTATCAGGTCTGCATCCGAGTCAAGCTTACTCAGAAAGACACAAATATCACCGTGATTCCTGAGATCAATTTCTATTTGATCTGAGGCTTATTAAGAACTGACTAAAGACTCTGAAGAAAAGATGCCAGATGATAACACCAAGTTCTGGCAACAGTGTGGGGCAATGGGCCTTTTCATTTTGCTGGTAGGAATGTAAAGTGGTACAATTTGTCATATCCAAACTGAAATTCATGTCAAGGATGTTATAAATATACATCCCTTTTCAAACAGCCTTTCCACATCTGAGAGTTTCTGGCAAGGTAAAATTAAAACAAGTATGCAGAGATATATGTATGAAATGTCCAAAAGTGTTTCCTATAACACTGTGTATAATGGTAAAAAAAAAAACAAACCAAAAAAAAAAAAAAACACCAGAAAAGATCTTTAAAAACATCCAAAAAAAACAACAACATTTAGGATTTAGTTTTTAAAAACAATGGTGACGGCCCTGGCCAGTATAGTTCAGTTGGTTGGAGCTTTGTTCCGTATACCAAGAGGCTGGGGGTTTGATTCCTGGTCAGGGCATGTAACTAGGTACGGGTTTGATCCCCAGCTGGCGTGCGTATGGAAGGCAACCAACCAATGCTTCTCTCTCTCCCCGCCCCCCCCCCCGGTTCTTCTCTCTCTAAAATCAATTAACAAACTTTTTAAAATTTAAAAAATATGTGATAGAAAAATATATTTATTAACCATGTTAGAGAATAATATTCAGTATCATGAAGTGTTTGGTATTATGGGGAAATGCTTATAGTTTTCATTTAGTGAAATAAAGTTTAATGGGTATAGAGTTTCAGATTTAGAAGTGAAAAAGTTCCGAAGATCTGTTTCACAACAATGAAAACACACAACACTACTGAACTGTATACTTAAAAGTGGTTCATATGATAAATTCTGTTACATGTTTCTTAGCATAATAAAAAGAAACAAATTAAACAATGTAAAACTAGTTTTATAAATATATGTGTGTATATATTAATGGCTAAAGGACTAAAGGGAAATGTACCAAAATATTAACAGTGGTGATTCCCCCGATGGTGAGAGTCTAGGCGATGTTCCTTTTTTTTGTTTTTGTTTTTTTCCTGCTGGCTTGTATTTTGTAAATCTTCCGATATGAGCACACTTTACTTGTTTGTTTTTTAAAGCAAGAAGGAACACATGCTAGGCTATTTACCTAATACAACCTGGAGTCCCTAACCTGTGTAGCTTTCGCCTTCATCCTAGCTTGAAGCAGGTCCTTACACATTTAAGAGAGGATGAGAGGATTCATTAGCTAAATGCATTCATTGGGTGCTTACCAGGCATTAAGCATTAGAAGTAAGCAGTGGGGAGCTATGAACGAAGTAAAAGGTGTGCTCCCCGCCCTCTGGGAGAGGGGGGTGGAAACAGAACAGAACGGAATTGCAGAGAAGGAGCCAGTTCGTTCATTCATAAGAGCCGAAGCAGGCTCTGAAGTGAATGGTGTGTCCGGAATTCCGTACCCCATCTTCTCTATCAGTGCTGACGGGGAGGGAAGTGGAAAGGAGGGGTGGGCAAGGGTCCAGACAGACTGCTCCTCTTTCGCTAATAAATCCTCATTCCCAATGCTTTTCCTCCTCCTGAGAGCCCTACCAGGTACCCCCACCCAATCCTCTCTGCCTGTTCAAGTTTCTCTCATTTCACAAGGCTCAGCTCGAAACCCACTTTCTCCATAAAATTTCAGCAACTAGTTGGACACTCATTTATCTCTTCTCTGAACACCTGATGGGTGTATTACTTGGACTTCACAGACTGACCTAACTCAAAACAAGTACTCCATAAAAAATCAAATTGCTCAACAAGTGAAAGAATGGAAAAATATTTAGGAGGTTGTCAGAATAACCAAGAAAGAAATTAGAGAACCAGCCATTGTGCGACCCCATCCTAAATGTATATTCACTCATTCAACTAATTTTTTACCAAGCACCTGCTATGCCAGGTCCCGTGCCAAGTTCTAAAGAAACAAGACAGGCTTGGGTCCCTACTTTCAGACTGTAAAGTCAGATCAAGCAGTTAGAAGTGAAATGAATGACACAAAGAATAAAGTAGAGGGAAATTTGCAGAGAGGGAAGGTATGGCATTCAACCTTTAGGGGCTGGGGGTCAGCAAATGCCTCTTAAGCCAAGGTCTGCCAGATGATTACAAGTTGTGTAGGTAAGGACGGAGGGAAGGGTGTTCTGGGGAATGCAGGTAACATGTGCAAAAGTCCTGCAGGGAAAGGAAGTGTGATATATCCAAGGGACCAAAAGAATACTAGAGCTGGAGCTTAGAGAGTGAGAGAGTGACCAAAAAAGGAAGCCAGGGAAATAAATGGAGGACAGATTCAAGAGCTTTGTAAACCATCCTGTATTAATGAGGATAAACTAAGTTATGCTCCAGTAATGAACAGTTCCCAAATCTCAGTGGCTTAACAAAGTTACTTCTCGCCTGCATTATGTGTTCAACCCAGAATGATGGGAGGCTCTGCTCACACAAGTCACACAGGAGCCCAGACTAGTGAGGCTGGGCCATCGTGTGGTAGCACCCCCTGGAGCACATGGACCTCCTAGTTTGTGTGGCAGTGGAAGAGTGAGGAAGGGTAAGTTGTGTATCAGCACATGCCTCAGCGCAGAAGTGACACTTGTCACTCCCACTCATAGCCCATAGGCCTGAACCAGTCACATAGCCCCACATGTCTTCAAGTCACCTGAGAAGGACAGGGGAGCACATAGACGTTGGATGAGTACTGTTGTCTTTGCCATATGATTGAAGTTCGGGCTTGAGCCAGAAGCCAGTAGAAGACATTGAAAGACTCTAAGTGTCTAAGTGCGGCAATGATTCCATGAGATTTGGGTTTCTTAAAGACTGCCCTGGCCACAGTGGGAAGGGTGATTTGAAGAGGGGAGGGATCAAAACAAAACAAAACAGAAAGAGCAGTGCAGAGCTACTGCATGGCTCAGTTACAAGGTGACTGTGGCTGGGACCAGTAGATTGGAAACAAGCAGACAGATCCAAGGACCTTCCTGGAGGTAGATCCACCAGACTTGGAGGTGACAGAGTGTGGGAGAGGGAGTGGCCAAGGATCATGGTGCCTTTCTGATCTGTGTGCCTAGGTTAGTGGTGGAGCTATTTGCTGGGTCAAGCAACATTGGCTAAAGAAGAACCATTATGCTGATTGGGAGACAGTGGTTAAGATTTGTTTTTTCATGATAACTCATTTATTAATAGGTTGAAAAAAATACTTTTTCTGAAATGCCATGTGTTTGACTCAGCTACAATCTTATTATAGAAAGTAAAAATGGAAAGCCATCCAAAATTATAACCTCCAATAAATATACTTATCTCCATATTGAAACACTTCATTTAAAAAAAATTTACACATCTAACCATAGAGCAAAATTAGCAGCCAGAGCCTTGTGTTACTTAATAGTTGTTCCAACAAAAACACTTGAACGTTCGAAGAGAAAACCATTTTTCCATTAATGCTTGTTCTCCAGCAACTGCACGTGTTTCAAAGATCATATGGGCTATTTTCAGCAAAGGGGCTCAGAGACTTTTAATTTACCTTCTTTATAATTAACAAGAGAAGGGGACAAGTTGTTGGTAAATAGGTTAACATTCAAGTGGTTAAGATTCTAAGGACAGAGATCAGCTACAACTAACATCTGTTTGGATACATAGGGAGTGCTGAAATTTTTGCAGATGAGAGCTCACATTATCCTTCAAGAAGCTTCTTCATAACTGGGAGAAAGAGGGGAGACACCAGTGATTTTATTACCCATTTCTGATACCCTTTTACGCCAAAAAAAACTTCTACATTTAATGATTATTCATCTAGACTCTCTCCCCACCATTTCACCTCTAAAATTGGTGATTACAAGAATCCTCAGGATTATCATCAAACTAGCCATTGCTTCATTTGTTCTCCTAATTGCCAAGAGGGGAAAAGATAATCAAGCAGGTGCTCTAATCTGGGGACCTGGTTTTCAAAAATTAACGTGGAATCTAAACTGAGCTTTCTAAAGCAGTATTTAAATTTTGACTTCAGTCATTTCATTTCAGCAAGAGTAGCCCTTGCTGAAGACTCCTGAAGTAAGTTTTGAATTGCCAGTGCCATGCAAAAGCAATTAGAAGGAAGGAAAGCTTTCCTACAAGAGTGACGTGGGGTTTTTTGGGGCATAAGTAGGATTTGGTTTTTGTCAATGCATCATTTGAATTTTTGAATTGCACCTGGATAAAAAGGTGGTAAAACAAACACTGAGCTTACCCCCGTTCTTGTCAGGACTTCTCCGACAGGGCCTGCCTGGATTATAAGACTCTTGCTCGGCCCAGTGAATCTCAAGGATAGTGTTTCAAGTGAGTGGGTGCAAATTTAAGAGATGTGCAGTCCTTCCCCAGCTGAGCCATTAATCACATTGGCAGAGGACAGGGCAAACCAAGAGTCACATGGAGCCCTTTGTCAGTATTGCTGATGGAAACGCTGATGGTGTTGTTCACCTGGGGACAGAACAATTAGGAGGAAGCAGAAAAAATTAACTTCATTGTAGCTGTGAATGGCCATGAAGAACTTGACTCATTCAACTCAAAGATTGTATATTGTCCTCTTGCTGGGGAGAGGTGTTCTGGAGAATAAAAGGACATTGTCCCTAATTCAGACAGCTGTCAGAACTTGCCTAAAGAATTTCAATAATTCCTACATAGTCTCCCTCCTCCTAGTCTGGAATAAAAGCTTTTTATGTATTTATTTTTATTTACATACAGTAAAATATACACTTTTTGGTGTCCGGTTCTATACGTTTTGATAAATGCATTCAGAATAACCACACCAGAATAACATACCAAGATGTGGGGTAGTTCCAACTGTCCCCAAATATACGAGGTGATGCTGCCCCTCTGTAGTCAGCTCCTTCCCTGACTCCCAACCCCTGCAAACTGCTGATCTGTTTTCTGTTCCTACAGCTTTCCTTTTCCAGAATGTCGTAGAAATGGAATCATACAGAATGTGGCCTTTTGAGTCTGGCTTCTTTCACTTAGCATAATGCATTTGAGAGTCATCCATGTTGTTGAATGTAGCAAATAGTCCATCCCTTTTTATTGTTGAGTCATATTCCATTGCGTGGATGCGCCAGAGTTTATTTATTCAGGCCCCAGGTGAAAGACAAGGTGGTTGTTTCCAGTTGTGGGCACCTATGACTAAGGCTGCTGTAAACATTTGCATATAATTTTTGAGTGAACCTAAGTTTTCATTTCTCTTGGATAATTACCTAGGGGTGGGATTGCTGGTCTAGATGCTAAGTATGTGTTTAATTTTGTAAGAAATTTCCAAAACATAGCACAAACTTTCCAAAGCATAAATCAGATCATGTCGCTCCTCTGGCTAAATCTGCCAAAGGCCTCCTTGCACTCAGAACAGACCTGCAGCCTCCGAGGCCCTTTGGGATCCGGCCCCTGTCTGTCTCAGCGGCGTCTGCTACCGCCTGCTTCTCACTCGCCCTGTCCCAGCCTTCTCTGTCTCTTTCTGGTCTTTTCTCAGGCAGGCTGAGCTTGCCCACCCCACCCTCACACCTGCCTCTTCAAGGCCTGTCCACTAGCTTACGGTCCCTCTGCCTGGCATGTTCCTGCCCCTGCCTTCACACAGCTGGTTCCTCTTGTCATCTGTGTCTGCTGAAATGTCACCTTCTCAGCAGGGTTTCCTTGATCTCCCAATCTAAAGTGGCCACCTCCCCCAGTCATTCTCTGCCAGAGCAGAACACTTATCACTATTGGATATTTTCTCATTTGCTTGTTTCATGCTGACTTTGTCATTTAGAAGTCACCCCTTCTGAGCCTCAGCTTTCTTACCTTTAAAGTAGACATTACAATAACCCCTCTCTGATTGATGTTTGGGGGTTTTTTCTACAATATTACAAGCTTCTTGAGGCAGAAACTGCATCTGCTTTAAAATTTTCTATCTTGGATATTTTAGTCATCTGCACATTGTCATTGGAAAGTTCTTATGTGGGCACATTCCCTTTTACCACTATGGTTAAATCTCTAAATTAAAATAAGAGAGCCATGGTTTGGGAGGGCAACCGGTGACAATCTCAATGATGCAAATATAAATAATTGTTCTGGAAAAGTGTATTCACACAAACCCATGTTTTGTCAACATATTTCAGGTTTCTGAAGAAAGTGAACTCACAGGGGCCTTGATGGGCAAGGTATTCAAAGTATAGTGCAGTCAGTGGTTGCGGTGGAACTAGTTGGTGCTAGATTGCAAGACCTGGCTGTTATGTTTTCAAGAATTTTGCTATCCAGTTATTAAACCATTGGTAGATATTTAGACCACAGAAAGTGGTAGACTCTACCAATCAGGGTTTTGATTGTTTGTTTTTCTGGTTTATCAGCACACCACAAAGAGGTATAGAGCAAAGGGGAATGGAGATAAGATGGGAGTATTTAAAGGAACTAATAAAAGGTGATCTGAACATAAATATTCACGATCCTGAATGCATTAACACTCTGGCTCAAACACGTATCAAATGTATGTACTTTTGTATCCACGCTTTATTCCACCAACACTCTCACTCAGCATCCACTCTGGGGTGCAGCAGAGAAGCTACAGTCTATCATAGGGGGAGGAAGTCAATGATTATGGGACAAGATGAAAGCTGCCATGATAGGCGAGTATAGGGTTACAGAGACACCAAGGAGGAGCCACCCCAACGGGGATTGAAAGGTGGCTGAAGGCGGAGGGGATGAGCCCACTAGGTGGAAATGGTGGGATGTGGCTGGGAGCAGTGGGTAAATGAGGACTTGTTCCCCCACAGGGAAGAGTGTCATGGCTTATTTTTAACACTTTGGACCTCAGGAAAAGAGGAAAAGAGTAGACCCACTTTGCAAGAGAGTTGTGAGAATTTGTTGATGTAGCAAAGAAACGGGAACTTGTTGATCAAAGCTGAAAGCTGACCCAGGGCTGGGGAGTGAGGTGGTCACATCTGAACCGCCTTCAGACCAGCCTGGGTAAGTCTTCGCTGCTCATGTTAGGTCGGGAAGACTAACTCCTCGTCCACCCTTTTGTCTTTCCAGCCAAACCTCACAGCGAGACACCTGCTAGAGAAGAACAAAGGCCGTCAGCCATCCCGCACAAAAAGCCTGTCTCTGGTGTCCTCATCCTCCAGAAGCAAAGCCACCAACACACCCACACTCCGAAGGGGCCCAGGGTCTAGGAGGAAGGCACCCGGGCAGTTCTCCATCACAACAGCCTTGAACACCCTCAACAGGATGGTCCATTCTCCCTCGGGGCGCCACATGGTGGAGATCAGCACCCCAGTGCTAATCAGCTCCAGCAACCTCTCCGTGACCACTCCGCACATGGAGAAAGCAGATGTTCCCCCCGGCTCTGTGGGACAGGTAGGCAACAAACCCCTTGCAATCAGGGCATGTTGGAGTTGGGCGTGTGATCCACACTATGTCACAAGCACAATCGGATGGTTAGTACCTGCTAAGCATCCACAATGCATGACAGTAATTAATGCCATGTGTATTATGTGTCAGAGTTGTGCCCTCATTTCATCCTTGAAACAACCTGTGAATTAGATATTAGTATTGTTATCCCCACTTTACACATGAGAAAACCAAGGCTTAGAGGAGTTTAACCCATGGAGGGGGTCCTAGAGAGGGCAGCACAATTTGAAAATTTACTCTTCCACCCTCTGGCAAGGTATTAGGCGTCATGTGGAAAAGAAGAAAAGGAAATGATGGCCTATTGGGTGTTTTCAGGACCAGCTACATCATTTGCAGGACCGAGTGGAAAATCAAAATGCAGCTCCCTTGCTCAGAAATAATTAGGGATTTCAAGAAGACAACAGCAGGGCATTAAGACAAGTGGAGGGCCTTGCTAGGCACAGAGCCTTGCGTGGCCACACACGTCGCACGCCCATGCAGCCAGGCCTGGCTGTTTTCATACGGAGCATCTAGCGGGAGACTGTCTGTGAGGTGCTCAGCACAATGCCAGGCACATGCCAAGCACCCGAGAAGCATTAGCTCTCAATACTATTATTAACAAGCCTGGTCACTGAGCTGCCAACTGAAGGGAGATAAAGCAGGGGCGGCTGGGCACTCCAGAAGCAGAAGGGCTTCTAACAGCCTGTGGCTATTTAGGGTGAAGGGCCCTTGAGCAGATGAAGGACTGGAGGTATGAGGCAAAGTAATTAAGAACTGCATGCCGGGTATTCTGCTGAAAACACGCTTTGGAACCATGCAGGTGGCTACTCGAGAGGACAAACCTCAACTTGCACTGATTTTTTTTTTTTTTAAAGCTGTAAATCTCGTTTTTAAACATGAATCTCTACCTTGGGATTAAATGGCTTAATTGGACTCTAATCCCTTTTTAACAATAAGGGAGGAGGAAAAAGTCAAGGGCTCCTGAAAGACCTGTGTGCTGGTTTAAAAGGAAAACAACCACCTTTTATGACACTTCCTACTTGATAGTGCTGTCTGGGTCACTGAGAGTCCGTGGCTGTTCACATGACTCTACCCACCACCCACGCTACACACACGCAAATACACCTTCCCCTAAAATAAAACTCCCAATCTACACACATTCAAAACACTTTTTTATAAGTACATATGCACTTTGCGCCCACAGTGCTCCTTCCACCACACAAACACACACACACACCAGGCCTATTGACTCACAACCAAAGAGTGACAGAATTTTTCTGAAACTGTTCTTTCTACAGAGACAGAGATATATAAAGCACAACCCACACTCCCTAGATACAAGCTGGCTCACCCAGCTGTAAGTCAGCTTCTCAAAAGATTTAGCCAAGTCATTTTCCATGTCTTTTTCATCCTTCTTCTCGCTCATTTATCTCATCTACAGAGAGGCTGGTCAGGAGGGGAGAATCCCAGTAGGATCCCACGCCAGTAGTATTGTCTTCCTCCCTAGTTTTCACAAACAATGAGAATTCCGCAATGTGGCATATGCACGTCCTACTCCCAAGGAACCACGGTCCCTTATTGATAGCTTTTCCTCCATTTGGATGGCTGTGGATTTTCAGTATCTCTACCTTTTCACCAGGGTGTTATCAAACATTCTTAAAATGTTCCACTTGTGAGCTACAGCTAATGATGAATGCAAAGCTGAACAAATGATAAGTTTTCCTGCTTCTGTTTTCTCTAACAGCCTGGAGAGCTGTGCGTGGGTCTAGCTTAGCAAGCTCCCCCTACCTTCCTCATCCCAGTATCTGCGTGGTGCCTAACAGGTGCTCAATAAATCAAGGAATTAAGACTTTTGACTTAAGCGTCTGAGCAGAAGGAGGAATAGTTTCCTATGGAAAGTCACAGGTCAGCATAACTCTTTCAACCAATAAGCATCTGTTGAGTGTTGCAATGTACTAGTAGTCATGGTGAGCATTGGGGAGTCTACTACCAAAGCAACAAGAACAGCAATAATAATCTCAAACATTTATTGAAATTAATATGATGGATGGATGGATGGATGGATAGATAAATAGATAGATAGATAGATAATAGATAGAAAGAATAATACCCTCCGATAACAAAGTCTTTTTTTGACTGAGTCCTGACCTCCATCCCAATCTATGGTAAGAGCCTTTGTGGGAGAAGTATTATCACCTCTTTATAGAAAGGTGATTAAGTCCCCAAGGAAAAAATTATCTGGCCCAAGCTCATGTCATTAGTAAATAGTGAGAGTCTGGATTGACCCTCGCATTGTCTGATTTTGGAGCATAAGATCTGTCACTACACTGTGCCCTCAACAGAGACCTCATCCGGTGACATCATTGTGTCAGCGTTGTTTACCTTGGCTCTCTGTAGCTTCCCTTTTCTTGGAATCTTCTCTTGACACCAAGGCCTTCCAACAGTCTCTTCCCCATGCACCCCCAATGAAGGCTCTGCCCTAAGTCATTTGCACCTGGAGAAGGTTTTCATTTGCTATCACTTTGTTCCTTTATAAACTCCCAACCTTGACCAAGCACTTTGAATGGTACTGAAGGCACCAGGAGTCAGCTCTTGCCCTTACAGTACTCACCATCTAGCAGGGATACAAAAACTCTATGACTGTAGTGGAGTTAGGCTTCCTAAAGGGAGGTGAGGACCCCGCCGGCACCCATGCTGACTTAGGTGGTAAAGAGACTCGGAAGTTACCAACACAGAACTGTAGACTGAGGAAGTTAATCCCTTCTCAATTTCCCCGAGCCCCTTGATGACATTCAGAAGGTTGCAGCTTGGTGCTAGTCTGGCTTTAACACCTCTCCGCCCCTCGCTAATCTCCCCTAGTAGGATGAGAGGGCAGGGCATCAGGCTTGGAGCTCTGGGCAAGCGATTGCCCATCTCTGAATTGAATCACACTGTGTGTTTTTATTATTCATTTGCATATTGGAATGTTAGTCTCCTGTGACTGTGGAGGAAAAAGTCCAGGAAAATTTTTTAGGGAAGAGTCTCTTGAAAGCATGCCCAGGCCCCACCAACGAGATGGGGGTAGGGGGCAGAGGAGGGGCTTGAAGGAGTAAGGAGTCAGTTTTCTGAAAACATCTCTGCAGTCATCCCAGCCTAATGGCCCCGTCCTCCTGTAGGGTAAAGACAAGCCTTGGATTGTCCTTCAAGTCTGAAACACCAAAGGGTAGTGATGGCTACTTTCTCATAAAGAGAAGCCTGAGCAAGGAATTTGTTCTCCTGTTGTCTTTGTGTCTTCTCACCTGTGAGAAACCACCTGACACCTCTGGGTAGAACGTCAGGTAAAACAATCTCAAAGATGAATTTGGGACTAAAGACAACTGTACCTTCTCTCCACAATGACTGAACTTCACCCCAGACTTCACTGCTGCTAGGTAATTTTCCTCCCCTTCTTCTGTCCCACCATTATTGGGAAGAAGAAGGAACAGTGTCGCAAAAATAAAAAAAAATAAAAACAACTGTACTTGAAAACAATTCAGAATTAGACCTGAACACGCTGCGTGAGATTCCATGGGAAACTGTGGTGGCAGAGATTAAACAGGAGAATGGGAACAGTGCAGCTGGCCTTGGGGAAGTCCTGGAGATTGCCTGCGGGTCCGCCTCAGGAGGAATGAGAAGGAACACCTCAGAAGGGGAAAGAGTGTCTGTCACGGGGGACACCAGTTAGACAGAAGTCCTTCATCATTGCCTTTTAAGGGGACGTCCCAGTACGCAGGCCCACCCTGGCATTTCTAAAATTGACTTGTTCAGGAAGTGGAGCCTGCTGGCCGCCTGTGCCCCATACTCACAGAACAAGGAGGATTCGTGTTTCCTCTAACACCGGCCTTCAGAGGCGGTTGTGCTCCTGCAGTATACCCCCCCCCCAGGGAACTCAGCCTCTGTCTCCCCTCCTCACCCCACGGTCAGTGTTCCCAGCCCCTCCTTCACGCTGCCCCCCACCGCCCCGCGCCTCCCAGATCCAGGTTAGTGGAACTGCTGTGCGACTAGAAAGCCCGTCATCATTCCAAAGCGCTCTCTTTTCTCACCTCCTCCATCCAGTTAGTCAGCAAGCTCATTTTGCCACCTAAACTGTTATTACTTCTGTCCATTCCATCCTACTGCCTCACTTTCAGTCATCGTCTCTTGCCGAGACTGTTGCTTCAGCCTCCTCCCTGGTCGCCCAGAACCTTGCTCAATCACTATGCCTCCCCCCACCGACCCCCTCACCCCCATTCACTCTTCCAGCCGTGGCCTCCACACAGATCTCTTGAAAACCCCCATCTGCTCAGCTACTTCTCTTCCCCAAACCTTCAATGGTCCCCTAAAGCCCTCAAAACCTAGAAACTAGAATAGATGGCTTACAGACTTTGCAACTAGACTAGGCATTATGCCCATTTTACCAAATAGGAAATCTTTGAAACAGAAAGATTGGGTAACTCACCTGAAGCCTCAAAGCTAGAAACAGACCCAGAATTTGAAGACAGACCTGCGCTTCCCCCTTAAGTAAATTAAGGCATTCTAGACCCTCTGTGATCTATCTACAGCGCCCCTTCCAGCACCTTCAGCGCCCCCATACACACCACAAACATACACACCATGTGCATATGCATATATACATACATACATACATACACAGACACAGGAGTTGCAGTGAGCTATTCAACATTCCTAAGCACAGTATATACGAGGCCACCTCTTTGCATTTTGGTCTTGGACCCAGCATGGTGCCTGCATTATTCTGGGCAATGAATAAATATTTGTGAAATAACAAATGCCATTCCTCCAGGAATTTATTTTTGATGCATTAGCCTACCATGATCTTATCCATACCCCAAAGCCCTGTATGCACACCATTCATTCAAGGAAGCTTTTGCCTCCTCTCCTCGGCAGGATTAACATCTCTCCCCTGTGTTCACAGTGCATGGGTTACACTCTTGTTCTCTGTGCTATAA